ATATATATATATATATATATATACACAAATATTTCTCTCACAGCTATGTCTCACACTGCAAGTGGGGTTACCACAAAAAAATTGTGTAATAGAAATGTAACTTTGTTTGATTTTGAATTTCATGCAAAGCTCCACGAGGGCTATCTGAGCTAGCCTTCCCTAATTTAGCAGTGTAAGACTAGAGGGAAGGCAGCTAGTCATCACCACCCACCGCCAACTCTTGGGCTACTCTTTTAGCAATGAATAGTGGGATTGACCATCACATTAAAATGTCCCCACAGCTGAAAGGACAAGCATGTTTGGTGGGACGGGGATTCGAACCCTCGACCCTCAGATTACAAGTCGAGTGCCCTAACCACCTGGCCATGCCGGGGCCCATTTACTTGGTAAAATTTTATGACAAATCGAATACTATTACATACCCTTCTTGTAAGCATTTTAGTCATCTAAGTTTATTTCTGCTAGACATTTTATATAACTGTCTAACAGAGTACTCTTTATAAGAGCATGGAATACACATCATAAAATATATATCTTCTAAAACATTATTATTTCGTTAGTAGTTGAAATAGGAAATATTTATGTTTTCGGCTAATCCTGGATATACCATCTTTAATATCTGTGCATGTTGTACTTTCGTACGTATGTAAGAACTATAACAAGGGTCTTAGTCTATTACATGTTTGAAGGTGAGGATAGAAAGTAGCTTATTTTACCAGGTAGTTGTGTGTATTAAGTAATCTGCTTACAAATATCCTTGCAATGTATATGACTTAAAATAAGACCCAAAACTCGAGCACTTTCAAATAGTTGAGACTTCTTCTTCTTCTTTGTTCTCTTGAAGAAGAACAGTCAACTATTCAAAAGTGCTCGAGTTTTGGGTTTTATTTTAAGTCTATTACACTTTATATGTGATCCTTTGTGCTAACTCTTTTATCAAACTTGCAGTGTGTATGTAGTTATTTTTGGCCAGCTTTAGAAATCTTACAAATGTAAATTTACAATTCAACTTATCTATTTGTTAAGTTAATAATATTTACTAATCTACAACTACGTTGAAACAAATATTACATTAAATTACCTGCATGCTATGTCCTACATGATTACCACTTCCATGATCACCATGAGCATGTACTGAAGTACTATGATGACTGTGTAGAGAATGATCATTTTTATTTGTTATAGCAGGAGACATATCCATTTGTTCCTGAGACTTAACATGGTGAGCATGACCAGAATCATCCTGTTCAGACAAATGTTCTTGAGTAGAAGAGGCTGTTACATATTCATTGTGATGGCTATGGTCTTTGTGGTGATCATTTACGTGCATTAAAGTTGGAGACACAACTTCTTGAGACTGGTGATGTCCATGATGGTGGTCATTTATAGAATCATTGTGGTCAAAAAATTGGCTTGATTTTGTAGAAGCCACTGGAAGCTCATGATGGTTACCATGCTTCTGATTGTGGACATTTATTTCTGTCACTATATTAGATGTCTGAGATTGAGAATGGTCATTGTGAGTAGGCAGGGAATCACCATTTTCAGGAAACTGAGCTGGTCTTGGAGATATAGTTTGAAGGTTATAGTGATGCTCATGCTCCTTGTTGTGATGACTTACGTTCAGCAAAGCAGGAGACACAACTGCCTGAGGCTGAGAATGACCGTGATGGTCATGTACAGAATCATCATGTTCAGCAAAATCATTTATTCTTGTAGAAGTTGTTGGAAATTTATCATGGTGGTCATGTTCTTGGTTGTAGTAATCTAAGTGTGTTAAAGCAGCAGATGCCTGAGATTGAGAATGGTCACCATGACTAGGTAGAGATTCACCATGTTCAGAAAACTGAGGTTGGCCTGTAGAAATAGTTAGGGGGTCATAGTGATGGTCATTTTCCTTTTTATGATTATTTAAGTCTGGTAAACTGGGTGACACATGAGACTGAAAGTGACTGTGGTGAGTTTGTATAAAGTCTTCATGTTCAGGAGGCTGAATTGGACTTGTAAGGTTTATAGTAGACTTGTAGTGGTGTCCATGTTCCTTATTGTGAACACTTGCGTTTGTTAAAATGGGTGGTACCTTTAATCCAGAATGAGAATAATCATGAAGGGAATCATTATACTTTGAAGCTGAAGGTAGAGTTGCAGATGCTCTTGAAGATGTATGATTGTGGACATGATGCATCATCATGGTAGTGACCAGAGCTTGAAGGAAAGTGGCTGTAGTTGGAGTAAGTTCCGTTACGTTCATCATAGGATGATTAATTAGTGAGTGGTTCATAACAGAATGATCCATTATAATACAATTTTAAACTGCACAACTGATCACAAAATATATTTGCTGAAAACGTTAGGCTTGTATACCAATGGAATAACTTCAGAAACCTACAGAAGTAAAAAACAGAAATGAAAAAGTTTATTACAAATTAATATTTTAATTACTTTTAAGTTATTGAATCAACAGTGATTGTTGCATTTGATCTTTACAGCTTTTAACAATGTTACTTCATATTTCCACTTAAAAGAACTAAAAAGTAAAGAATATCTTTAATAGTTTCGTTTTGAGTTTACTCACTGATTAAGTATATTTTTGGGCCCAGCATGCCCAGGTGGTTAGGGCACTATGAAGTGATGGTCAATCCCACTATTTGTTAGTAAAAGAGTAGCCCATTGTTTGATACATTTATTTCAGTTTTTCCCTAATACTTAGGTTTCCACACACACACAAAATTCACTTGTGGTTGTACCTATGTTCGTTTGTTTTTTTTTTTCAAATTTGTTAGCTAGTTTATTTAATATAGTTAGTGTATCGCTGTTGAGCTATAAAACAAAAATCTTAACGTCCTGGAAATGACGTAAATTAAGACACACGGTACTACCTGCTGCAGGACACTGTGTGTTATTAACAGGAGTGATAGTTTAGCGATTTTCCACCTTCTGAATCTCAGACTGTGCTCATCCAAATTATCACATATTTTTAGTGGATGTGCTCTATTGGGCTCTTACTTCACATGCCAAATTTCAAGGCAATCCATTGAAAATACCTGAGATATAAAATCTCCCATTTTGATTGCGTTTCTTCCATCTTCTTTTTCTTAGCACCAAAAGTACGGAAACTATATTTGATAGTAAAACATACTTAACTTTTAAGGACTTTTTTCAAATTTGGTACACTGATAGATCTTTTCAACCTACAATTAGGAGTCTCATTTGGTGTAAATATTATCCACATGTGCAAAGTTATTCAACAAAAACTGCTCAAAAATGACGAAACTTTTTGCGCACGCCTAAGGAAAAAGTCACGTGAGCTATCGATTTAACATTTTTATTACAGCTTACCTAAGAGTAAAAGTGGACCGGTTTTAGTTTTTTGTCATTCGGATTAAAGATGGCTGATTTAGAATAGCAAAACTATAGGGTGAAAGGACGTGCAGATACATAAGTATTGGTTAGGCCAAGCAAACTAGATTAACAGTTTCTAGCTCAAGTCTTAAAACAAATCATACGGATGGACGGTTATTATTCATAATTTATTGCCAACTTTTCAGCACAAATTTTCTACATTTTATAAAATTATCCTAATTAAAGAACTTTCAGCGTCATGTAATATTAGTTTAAGTAATTAACATAAATAATGATGCTTATTACGACTGTACCAATTGTATGAGGGTATTGAGAAGAAACTGTTAATCTAAATTCCATGGCGTTACTATAAAGGATGCTATTAACAGCATTTTAGAGAGGAAAACTACCACCATATATTTTAAAGAATCTGGTTGGTTCTGTAAAGTAAAGGTCTGTTCCGAATAATAGGGTTGCGATCATAAAGCTAATTTGGGTTACTATCGAGTGTCACTTTCTTACTTGCTATGGTTTGTTGGTGTGTATTGACAAAAAGTCATGATATCTAATCAAAAACACCTTATGTATGAACAAAAGGTGCGGATGAAAAATGATTGATATGCAACTTAAACGAATTAAATCAAAATTGGCGGCCGAACTTGTAGCTACACTTATAGCATTGATAACAACTTTACAGCAAATATTCATTAGTTAGCGAGGTCGCATATTTTGTTTTACCCACCACCATGCCCCAAGTTGAACAAAGAACATGGCTTGGCTAGCTAATGAATGAATATTTGCTGTAAAGTTCTTATCAATGCTATAAGTGTAGCTACAAGTTCGGCCGCCAATTTTGATTTCATTCCTTTAAGTCGCACTCTGAATCCTTTTTTGGGCGTACCTTTTTCTCACACCTAAGGTGTTTTTGATCAGATTATCATTAAGATGGAATAAAAATACACTTAGCACTGACAAACTGAGAAATGCATGTTATATTAAACATTCGCATAAGTTATTTGTATAATGAAACGGGTTCTATGGATATCATGAACAGTTTATTAGAACAGCAAACAATTTAATCCGACAACTGTAGAAAGATGTGTAATTCAGCATTTCAACTCTCACAACAATACTTTACCAAAACATATATAATGATAAAATATATCATCAAGTTATTATTAATAGCATCTATAACCATTTATCAGTTCATACTAAACATTCAGTACTTGATTAGTTCTCCCTGTACTCTAATAACCTCCTCAAGGTGGCATGGCATGCTATCGATGAGGTTATTGATGTAATTCACTGTGATTTCATCCCAACTTGTCACTAAAAGGCACTGCAACTCAGCTACAGTAGCTGGTTTAGGGTCCTGGTTAGGAATTTTCCTGTTCAATTCTAATTGAAATCTCAATGGGATTACAACCTTCAGACTTTGCTGGCCATGGCAATCTTGTAACGTCCTCTTGGTCGAAATAATCCTGTACAATACACCCACTTTGGGCAATGGCATTACAATCCTGGAACACAAAGTTATTGCTAAACCTTGCTCTAGCATCTGGCAGAAATATTGTAGTAGGTGCCATTGAAATTTCCCTGGAGGATTTAAAGAGCAGTTTTTCCACCATAATGAATAGCTGTCCAAACATGTACTGCACCATCTCCTGTGTGTTCTTTCTGGGAAAGACAGCCTTCCTTCATCTGTTCTTTAGGCAAACGACAGACTCGAATCCTACAATGAGCTTTAACAACCCGGAAATAGGACTCATCTGAAAAGATGACATGTTGCCAGTGTCCTAACTGTAACTTGGCATGCTGTCTTGCCAAAGCAACACGGTGACGGTGGTGAATTCTGGTTAATATCAGTTTGCAAATAGCTCTTCTTGCAAAATACCTTGTTTGATCAGTCTCCTATTCACTGTTCTTCTGGGTACCCTGGAATGAATGTGTTCATGCCATTCTTGTCGTAAAGTATTACAAGACTTCTTTCGACCTTGACGTGTTAACCTGGTCAAAGCATGGTCATCTCGGGCAGCATTTTTTCGGCGTCTACTGGTAGACTTTCTGGAACAAATTTCCCTGTAGTACGATGACGTTTCAAGATTCTGTATAAAGTACACAGGGGGTACCCTACTATTCTGGCAATGTCCGTTTGATTCATACCCTTTCTCGACAGTCGAACAATTTCATGCCCTATAACTTCTGGCACGTGACGAGGACTGACTCTTCACAAGCACAGAGAAATTGCCTGAACAAAGCATTGATCTGTTTCGAAAAAGATTATAGCAAAATCACGCCCTTTTATATAAAACAGGTGTGTATGTGTGTGTTTTGACGAACAAATGCTCAAAACAACTTATACAGACCAGAATAACAACTCGTAAATGTTTGTCCGATCATACGCTACCTTTTCTGTTACTACTCGGGCATTTACTCAATAAGTACTTCATGCATGTAAACAATAACATCAGTATAGAACAGTATGCAAACAATTTGGCCAAGACTATGTATAATCAAAACGTGTCTGCGTGCGTGGGAATTTTTTAAATTCATTAAAGTATTAAAAATGAAATTAGGAGTACGGAAGTATTGAAGACGTCATCATATACGTAAGGGAGAGGTGTGCTTAGATAGTACTATGCATTAAAAAAGGAAAGTCATTTGAAGAATGGATCTGTCATCTATCAGAGCCCTATTTCAGACAAGAGTGTTTATGTGTTAAGGTTTTGTGTGAATTTTCTCCTTTGTTCATAGACACGTAGTGTATCGGTACCGTCACCCCGATGGGTTTTAATACTTGCCCGAGATACCCAACTTAGGGTCACTAAATCTGGTGTATCTTACTAGATAAGTCGATCAGTTGGTCATTTTTTATTATATGATTCGGTTCAAAGTGTCATTTATAGAATAGGTGTTTGGTCGGTACCACTTGTTGTGGAATAGCTTTACCTTCGCGGTCATTGAGACAACCCGCACGGCATCAGATTCGTTCAGATCTTTATGTATCTAATCTCGTACGTGAGTAGTCTAGGCAGGCTGCTTAACTGTTTTAATTACTTTAATTATAAAACATTGTATTAATATTGTATAAACTTTGTACATTCAAAATACCATAATCACAAAATGTTTCGTACTCGAAGCACGAGTTTCCCCCCTTGTTTTATGTATTGAAATACCTAAAATTCATATAATATCCTTCTATATGATTGTGGTTAGTGTGACATTGTTTTAAGTTATTAATTGGTTGACTTATATATCTTGTGGCAATTGATTATTAAAAGTAATACACCCTTTAAACCACAATTACTTATTAATACAAAAGAAAGTTATTGTCGGATATCTTGAATCACACACTATTAAAGGGTTTCCATTAGTACGGTAATATTCCTTTTAATCTTTCTAGTTTAGTGTTAAACGATGCTCGTTAGTGCGGTTACATTTTCTAGGGACGTTGTTGAGTTTCTCTCTGTAGCATGTACTACATTTTTACATAGTGTTCGTTCGTGAGATTAGAACATTTTTTCAAATGTTTTTGGATCTCTGGTAAATCGTTTAATACACTATTACATTTTGTAAGATTTGATGTAAAGTTCTTTACTCACTACTAATAACCTAAACTACTATACCATCACAATTAATTATTCACGGATACTCTTTTGTAGTTATAGCCAGTAGGGTTAAATTTTCTCCAAGTGTTACTGGATATATGTAAAATATACACTGCACTTTTATGTAATGTTTGTTAGTGTGATCAGGTTATCATAGAACATTGTTGAACTCCTCTGTTACATTACTATATTCTCATACGAGCGTTGTTCGTGTATCCAGTGTTTTTGTTCCGAGTATTGTAGAACTTATGAGCCATCGACTTAATTGTTATATAGCCATAACTAGTTTGGTCCGTTTCTTTTTCCTAAGTTTTGTTAGACTTTCTCATATCAAGCTACATGGTGT